TTAACATTTGTTGGAAGAAGAGTGGGGATTATTATTAGTCTTGCCTGAGGGAAACCATCAAGAGAATTACCTCTAACATGTTCTTTAACATGTTGATAAGCATGACCTTCAACTCTTTCTCCAAATCGATATGAAAAGGGGGATCATTTCTTAGACTACACTTGGAATGAAAAGGAAGCCTAGAATTGCACCTACCTCAATAAAACTTGTATGAGTAAAATAATTACTTTTAATTCTTTTACGTCTCTCCTCTCTTCCATAAAGAACTGCTGTCACCTCCTCTACCTCCCAATAATTTTTTTTCATTTCTGTAAGTTCAATAACAATCCCCTTCACCACCCCCAATATTGATGACTTGCACCAGATCACTCCTGAGTCATATTTTCTGGACATTTCTTTGATGTCCCCAAAGGGTCTTCAAACTTAACACTATCAATGAAGTGGAAATTTTGCCCAGGACTTTATCAGCACGTAGTCAGCAACTGTCCCCTAGTTTAAAACTGCCCATGTTTCCTAGAAACTGCCTCTTTCTGCTTCTGTACCTCACAGCTTATTGCTTACTAACTGAAAAGCCTTAAGGAAAACTGCCGTGTTGCCTAAAGTTCTGAGTTACTTTCCCTGCCCCTTTACCTATAAAAACTGTGTACTTTTCTTAGCCGGGGTCCAGACTTTTGGGTGTGAACCCTGCTGGGCCTGCCGGCATAATAAACTGTGTTCCTTCAAAGCCCTGAGTGCAGCTTGGGTTTCTTGTCAGGGAAGATTTTCCAGAACATCAACAAATTTCAAAATGAATTAATTTTCCATTTCTTAGACCTGTTTCTCCTCTTCCAGACACAGTCAATTTTACCCCTCCGTTCTGCCCATTGTCCACCACTCAGCCCATGTTTTATGTCATCCATATTCTTTTTCACTCTTCTATGCCCTTCTCAAAACCCAGGGTTGCTCATTCTGCTCTTTGCCTAATAATAATAACAATCATAATACTTTCCAGTAAGTGTTGAACACTTACTATGTGTCATACATGGTGCTAGGCAATTTATATGTGTGATCTCATTTAATTCTTACAACTTCTTATGACATAGTCACTATTACCATCCCCAGTTAAAGACATGGAAACCATATTCAAGGTGACAGATCTAGTGTGTGACAAGCTGATAGTTTAATTCTAGTTTGAGAGCAGTACTATGACCTGCCCTTTCCACCTTGGTAAATTCAACACCTCAAGGCTCAGTTATGTGTTTATTCCTAGATGAATCATTTGACAAGAGTATTTTGAGTGCACACTCTACCAGACATAGAGCCTGACAAAGGTTATCAGCAGTGAATGAAGTAACCTTGGACCTGGATTCCTAGAGACCAGTTAGAAAGAGAAACTTTAAGCAAATAACCACACACGCCATAAAATCACAGATGATAATTGCTACGGAGAAAGACTTTGGCTGTGGGTGATGCGTCTGTCTCCAGGCATCCCATGAGGACTAAGTCACAACTTCAACATTTTTTCATTTCTCCATCATTCCATTAACTTGTTCTCTGTATTTACATGCAGTTCCTACTGCACTGATAAATTAGATGAATTATTCAGGTCAGAAATTAGACTTCAAGTTAGAAATTTTAGTCAACCTTAATGGTAAGCCTTTTTGGCATTATGACAAGAGTTTTAGGGCGAAGAAGACAAAGTACTATGAATGAAAAAGTGAGACTGGATTTGATAAAAGGCAAGGTTGTCTCAATGTAAATCTTTCAGTTCATGAATTCATTTGTTCTATTTGATATAGTATGAGTATGACAATGTTCAGAACATAATAAAAAGTTCTATATACTCAAACATTTGCCAGAAGGGAACTGTTGAGTATTGGGCCTGGAAGGATAAATGGACAGGTAAGAGTTCTAGTTACTGCTTGCTGTTATATTCTTTTTACCCTTTATCCACCTGTGGAGCTCAAACAACAAGTGGTCTTTACAAAAGTTAAAACCCCCAAATATGACATTTTAGGTCTCAAACTTCATGTGAAAAGCACTTACTCAGCTATAAAACAGCTATAATTTTTCAAACAGCTGAATTGACAGCAAAAGCCATAATAAATGCTCAAAGAATAGCATCTTGGATCAAGATATTGTGAATCAATGACTCAGAATGAAATCAAAATAAACATTACAAGGGTTTTATCAATAGATACCAACCCACTTAAGCCTGTAAACATTATTATAAATAGATGTTAAATTGCACAGAAATGTCAGACATTAGCAGCAACAAGTCTGAGTAGTTGAATTCACTCCTCTTAAAGTTATAATAATTGACACCAATTTGGAACTGCCTTCTGTTACTGGGAGAAACCGAATTTTTAAAAATATTGCAAAATAAAAAATATTCACCTGTTCACCACAAAGAACAAAGTTGTTAATCTCATTACAGGGTGCCATACCGTGGCCATGAATCTCGCAATTAGTTGGCTTGATGTCAGTGCTCTCCTTACCTATCATACCCAGACAGGTATGGGTATGTAAATCAGGTAGTTAACGTTAATGTAGACCACCAGTTTAAGATGAAAAATGTTATACAAACTTTATACTAAGAGAAGTAAAAACCAGTGCCTTCAGGAATTATTTGACTCATCCCTAGAACTTTGTACCACTTAGATGAAGGAGATTATTGACCTCTTCTGTTAATGATCTTCTCTTCTACACTATTAAAGAGGAGTAACAAAAATAATCACCCTCAAATTCTGTGGCAGTTTTTGCTCTTTTGAAATTTGCTTAACTTTCACTTTATAGTGTAATGAGATTTCCACCCCACACCCACTGCTAAAGATCTTAACTGCTTCACAATCAACATGTATTGTGTGTTGAACTCCTCCTCACTCCAAAGCAAATTTTCTTTTCCTCTGTTTATCAAAAGGAAACAATTGGGTTTAAGATCTTGATACATTTGCCCCTGCTTCTCTTCTTACCTACAACAAAGTGATGGACATTGTTGGGAGGCTGACCACTGGGAAATGTTACAGAATACAATGGGTTCACTCAATACTATATAAATATAGAATCTTCTATTTGTCAATTTTTACATATTTCACTCTCAATGCATATGTATTGTGATACATTATGCTCATCACATGATTTTGGTGATTTTCAGATGAAATGAGTTGTAAACATTTTACTGTTGCCATAATTGTGCCTTAAATTATAACTCATTTACCCATTTCATTAAAAAAACACATTTTAAAACTACTCAATTATTCCCACTCAAATTCAATTTTGTATACATGTTTTAATTACTGCAATTTTTAAAAATTAGTATAGTCTGAGTTTCTACATATCTAATTCTGAACATATATTAGAAAAAAATAGAATATCCTAATCTATGGAATAACGAGTCCTTCTAAAACTAGTAGTTTTGTGATCCTATACAGTAACATACAATTGCAATAAAAATAAAATAATCTAAGGATATATAGCATGAAATGAAAGCATTCTATTAATGGTCGGCATTCAATATCAATGTAGGGCAGTACTTTAGTTATACAATTTTGTAATCTCGAAAATGATGCTTTTTATAGAAGGGATAAAGGGGATTTTTTTTTCTAACCTTAAAGAGAGTGGCCAACATAAAACAGTACATAAAAGAAATTAACTATGAGAGTCAAGCAGTTTCAAAGAACAACGGTTCGTGAAGAAGTTTTGACTAACCTACAAATACAGATCACTGCAACAGCAGAGGAAACTACTTACTAAACCATGGTCCCCTCAAAGCTACAAGATGAATAATGTAACTGCTGCTCTCAAGTAATGGAACATGAGCAGAAACCTACCTTAAGTCGAGACGACTTCAAACAGCCTTTGAAACCACTTCATCCTGCCATTTTGCTGTAATGACAAGGATGAAAACTACTGCCACAGCCTCACTGGTTTTCTACTTCATTTACTGCAAAGATTCTCTGTTGTGGATTAGTCACCCAGTGAGGCTCAAAAATTTGGAAGACAATTGTTCTGGGGTAGGCCTGGAGCACAGGTGTGTCATGAAAGTTCTCCAGGTCATTCTAATGTACTATCATATCAGTGCTGTGAATCAATGCTGCCACATTTGTTGCCTTGGTTTCCCAGGCTTCTGTCTGGTCCTCCTGTGATAGCGTCTATGAATGCTGCCAGATGACATTTCTCTAATGCTTACACAGTCAAATCCAAACTTCTGTGCAAACTGCACAAGACTCAACACGATCTGCTCTTAACTGCCCAACCAGTTGCCTCTCCCCTACTCCCCACCAGCTCTAGAAGCACTTGCTTGCAGCAAGCCTGGCCTTAGCCTCAAGGACCGTGCACTTACTCATTCCATTCTCTGAAATGTTCACCATGCTTGTCTGTCTGGCTCCTCTGTGAAGCCATTCCTGACGTCCTAGCGCCAAACCCTCCAGGTGTCCTCAAAGCACCCTATATGTACACAGTTTTGTGTTTTTTTCCAATCATATTGAACTGTCATTTTAGAACATATATGTCTCCCATCTTCATTAGACTTTTTTGAAGCAGAGACTGTATCATATTTGCTCTATAACCCCCACACTTGGCACACTGCCTGGCATATACAGCATTCTGTATTTGCTGAGTAAATGAATGAATACCATTTATACTATTTTTACCTATTATAGACAGAGCAAGAGGAGACTTACATTGGGACCACTGAAAAAATCAGGTTCATAATAATAAAGAAAAGGCCTTAGCTTTTATTTAGTACTTGGTGGTAGTAACTTATTACTCTAAAGATCAGCCTTCCAATAAGGTTACCAGGTTAATTTTCAACTTGGTTAAAGTCCAAGAAAAAGCTTCAATTAATTCCTTAAGAATACTCTCAGCCTCCCCAAACCATATGCTTTCAGAATGATGACCAGTATATGCTCACCTTCAGCTCCGTAAAGGAAAGAAGCCCCCTTAATGCCTACCACGAGTTGATCTAATCTGGCTGCTTCTGCCATGTAACATCAAACCCACACTCTGGTGAAAATGCTTACTTTGTATTTGCTTTCTGATCTGGAAGGGGTGGGAATATGTCCTTTTTTCTTGAAGGTTGTAAAGTGCTTGCACTGAGGACATGGCTTGGTGCTGGAATCAATACGGCCAAGTTCCAAGAAGTACTTATACTTGATGGAGTCTTCATGCGTTAAGTTATAGACAACAGTTGTTTCTTCCAAGAATTCAAAACACTCTGTTATTGGGCATTTGATTTCTACTTGGCCAAGTTGTACCTGTATGATGGAAGAGCAGATGGAAGGGAAAAAAAGTCACTGGTTATTTTCTTTCATTTATTCTTTTGGTATACAGTATTACTTATTTCATGATTGCAATAAAGGATTGTGTGTAATTTTTAAGCTAACATAATGAAAGTTAGTCACCTTGATACCTTATTTAGGCAATACCAAATAATCAGTATATAATGTTTCCAAAACGATTTATAGGGCATATAGGTCTTCTCTGATCATTTTGTGAATATGTATGTGTGAAAAGAAATGGACTTAAGCCACAGGTTCACCAAAGAAGCAAATTATCATCTCATGTTTCTGAAAACTGCAGGGTTAGACAGCATTCAGATGATTAACCCGTTGCAGGAGCTGCAGGGTGAGGTGGCATTTAGACAGTATGCCAACTAAAAGGTGTTTCAAGTTTTTCAGCTTCACTGCAGAATACTTAACTCTGGGCACATTTTACTATTTTAAAAGGACAGAAGAGATTTTGTAATGCATAATGCCTAATAGTTTAAAAATTGTTACTAAAAACAACTGTTTTCCTGTTGCTTCTGTGTTAAGAACATAAAGTGAGGAGTTCTATATAATAAGAATCACAGGAACAAGTAAGAAAATTAAAACAGCTACAACAGTAAAAAAATCCTTATGAAATCTGGCTGCTACTGAGGTAATTTACAAAATTAATGTATTCAAAGGACTATGGATAGATTAGGAAAGAAGGGAGGATACATCAGAATATGACATTTAGCATGTGGTATGGAACACTAGATATGGTTAGCATTAAAGATTACAATAAAAGATTAAAGCACCAAGTGTGGACACAATTAATATTTAAATAATTAAAATAAACTACTTTGAAATAATGAGTAGCTGGAGTGTTTTTCATTAGTGAAAAATAACGCTTTATATTCATGGCACTACAATCTCTTTTGTCCATCCTAATGTAGTAATGGGAGGCACCAAAACCTCCAAATCACAACATCAAACTCTTTTTTATTTGGGTGAATCTGACATTGTCAGAAAGCAAAACATATCCACTTGCAGTAGAAAAGCACACTATGAAGACTCAGGCAGGAATGAAAGCCACGCAGTTTGGGGAAAGAAGAACATCAACACAAGAGCAACTAAAAACCCTAAATTCATAGGATCTTTTAACATTGCTGTTTATCTGGCACAAACTTGAGGAAAGGTAATTAAGTTACAAGCTGAAGGATGAATGGGGTGACACATCGAATACCAGTAAAGGACATGAGCTAAATTAAAAACAAAATGAAAGAGGCTGGCTTTGGATAAATCTCCTTATTAATATCGATCTGTTAAAAGTCTAAATTGTTGCATAATTTTACACTACTATTGTACAAAACATGGCCCAGAGAGGATTTAAAATATGTGCCCAAACATTGTTTTCTACTTTTTCTGATGAGTCTGCTCACAGTCCCAATCAGATTTTATTATTATTCATGTTACAGTGTTACAATGCTATTATAACTCAAATTACATTTTAAAATAAATTATTTTTTTCTACCCCAAGACAGAAGTCCTCAGGAGATTTTTGTGTAGATAAAAATCCCTGTTTAGCACACTAAGATCCTACCTTAATGAAGTATATAACTTAAATGTTAAAAGATGATTAACTGTTTCCTTTTCTAATATTCTGTAGACATTTATTGAGCACAATTCTGAGGCAGGTACAGGCTAGGCACTAAAGCTTTGCAAGTGCAGGTCCTGATTACCTCTTCACTGAAAGAGGCAATCAGGATGCAAAATGTTGAGTACAAGGTGTCAGGAGAAGTACAGTAATCTCAGACCTGGGGGATCAGAAGAGGTCTCTTCGAAGAAGTGAGGTTACAAGTAAGAGCTTAAGACTAGCAGGATTTAGCCAGACAAGGGTGAGAAGGGGTTCCAAGCAGACAAAAGAGACAACATGGGCAAAGGCCTAAAAGAAAGAGAACACAGAACTAGCAAACCCAATTGGATCAACTTGTATAGCACCCAAATGCACATGCATCTGAACTTAAAGATCATAGCCTTGGGATGGGGCTTAAAGATGAGCAGACTGGACCACAGTGTGAGTAAGGGAAGATGAGGCTGTAGGGAAAGATGAACCAGCTTGGACCAGAGCACAAGAGCAGAGCATGAAGCCATCTTAGGAGTTTGGGAACTTTTCCTATAAAAATAGAAACTATGCAGTTTTCAGAACGTGAAAGATAGTTCTTTCAAGTCCACAGAAAAGGGGCTCACTTGGGCCACCTCAAGAGGCCCTGGTAATTGGGAAGCAGTACATTTTTGTGATTAAGAACCTGAGTGTTTTACTCTTTAGGTCAGTGTTTGAATCCAGCCTTCCTCACTTACGAATTTATTTTATTTTAAGTATATAAATGACATAAATGGAAGCTGCAGTAATTTCACAGCCACCCAGGAATGGTTAGCTTATGGAAACTGAATGCAGTTTAGGGACTACAACAATCCAAGGCAGCTAAATGGGGCAGGTTGTCTTGATACTCTTTCAGCAGTGGGTACTCATTACTCAACCACATTGGGATACCATCCAACATCCAATCATTCACACACATACTTTTCTACTTCAGTATTTCTCAAATCTGCAAACCTATCAATTTCTGTAGAATATATTACTTTCTCTTGCTTTCATACTCTGCATTGACTATTCCTTACCTTCCCTTCTTTCTAAAGGCTCCAAAATCCCTATCCTACTACATTGAATCAAAGACTTCATATTTCATTGAACACATAGAGGTAATCAGATGCACAGTCCCACACCTTCCCACAACCAGCTCTAGTAATTTACATCTTTTGTTTTCTGTCTTCCCTCTGTAGAGGAAGGAAGAATCTATTTCCTCTGAATCTATTTCCATAACAACTGTATATGAGTCTTTTAAAGTGTCTGTTGAGCATTCCAGTTTCATGGCCCACTCAAAACCTACAGAATTGAAATCATTGTTGACAAGCCAGTAAGTGGCGGTTTTGAGCAACCACTCATACAATCCTTCGATTACTCATACTTCTTCATGCTGCCAATATCATCTTTTTCATAACACAGTGTTACTCACCTATGCAATCTCTTGGCCTCTACATGCATCTTTTTCAGAAAAATTTCCTCAAAAGATGACTAGCAAACAACTAATTATGATTAAGTGAAGTATACTTTTTCATGCGTTCAACGAGATATGTATTTTATCAAGAATGCATCTTAAAAGCACATTTTAATTTTTCAAAAGTAGTTTTTTATAATCATAAGTATTGTATGATAGTTTAATTTGCAGTGTTTTTACTTTCTTGGCAGCACATAACCTAATACTGCATCCTACAATTGATCACATCTTAGATTTCAGTTAAATGTGGTTTTTATGGTATAGGTGGTGTGACAAACTTCTGGAGAGATAAGAGGAGAAAGAGATACAGGGTGTCTACTGAAGGAAATGGATAATAAGCGAGCAAATAAACAAGGCAGATAGTAACCAGTGTTATGAATGAACTATACGTCATGGAAGCAACCTCTAAGGAAATGACAATATGAGTTCAGAATTGAAAGGCCAGTCATGCAGAGAACATGAGGAAGAGACAGAAAACAAAGGAAAACAGGACACTCACCCACACAGGTGTCTGATGTGTCTCTGCTCAGAGCACAGAACCCAGCGGCCACAAATTGGGGAGAGAACAGTATGAGATGAAGTTGGAGAGTTAGCAGAAGACAGTTGGAGAGTTAGGCAGAAGAAAGATCACACAGGCCTAATTGGCCGTGGTAAAGTCTGTATTATATAAAGACAATACAAATAACTGGTTTTAAGAGGAGGACGGACATGCTCTTCTAGGAGAAAAGACTGTAGAGGAATACAAGTGAAGGCTGAGAGAATCCTGGAAGTCTGGATTCAGTGGCTCCTCCCACAAGTGATGTCTAGCTGTTATAGGCAGTAGATGATAGATGACTGAGAGGTAACAAGATACAGGGTGTATTTTGGAAGCAGAATCAATGAGATTTTTTTTAATTGACAAAAATTGTATATATTTATGGTCTATAACATGACATTTTTATATGTATACATATATGTACAGATCAATATATATTAACCAAGCTAATTAACAAATGCATTACCTCACATACTTTTATAGTGAGAACACTTAAAATTTTAAAGCTTATAATACACCGTTAATGACAGTCACCATGTGTCATGTAAATGTGTAATTGACATGGTGACTGTCATTAACAATGTATAATAAACTTGAAATAATGACAGATCTTTTGAAGTTGTTCCTCCTAACTGAAATTTTATATCCTTTCACCAACATCTCCCCAATCCCTCCCTGCCTCCCCCATGCAGCTGTGCTAACCACCATTCTCCTCCCTGTTTCTGAGTTTGACTTGTTAAGATTCCATATATATGTGAGCTCATGGGGTTTTTGTCTTTCTGTGCCTGGACTATTAAACTCAACACAATGTCTTGGAGGTTCATCTATGATGTTGCAAATGACAGGATCTCCTTTATAAAGACTAAATAGTATTTCCTTGTGTATATATGTTACATTTTCTTTACCACAATGGACCATGGACAATTCCATGGGTTTTTCCATATCTCAGCTCTTGTGAAAAATGCTACAATGAATATGGGAGTACAGATATCTCTTCAACATACTAATTTTATTTCTTTTGGATATATATGCTGCAGTTGGATTGCTAGATTATATGGTAGGTCTATTTTTAATTTTAAAAATATATTTTATATTGCTTTCCATAATGTCTATAACAGTTTATATTCCCACCAACAAGGTACAAGGGTTCCCTTTTCTCCACATCCTCACCAACACTTATCTCTCATCTTTTTGATAATTAATCATGCCAACAGGTGTGAGGTGATATACAGTTGTGTCTTTAACTAGCATTTCCCAAATGATTAGTGATGTTGCCTTTTTTCATAGCCCTACTAGCCATTTATATGTCTCCTTTTGAGTGGAACCAGTGAGGTTTTGTGGTTGAGTAGATATTGGGG